GGGGGGGGGGGGGAGAGGGAGAGGATGGATAGGACCTGTTCATGTGTTAGCCTTGCGTCCGAGGCACAAATATGTTGTTATCAACTTCATCAACACCCTCAGCGGCAGAGCATGATACATCTCATGCGATACAATAGACGCAACGCGCTCCCTTCGCTCCGACATTGAGGGACCCAAGCCCCCAACTCCTTCTTGCCCCGAAACCCTATTTGTCTCCCGAGCGACACATGATAAATGTTCCTCCTTCTCTCGTTCTTTCAGCGACAGTCTCCTCGCCAAGCTTCGCGTTGCCAGTGACGGTACATACATCGCCGAGACTTTCCACGCGCCTAGCGCTTGGGCTCGTCATCGCCCCCCGCCATATCCCCAGATATCAAACCAACCGCATGGCTGGGGGATTCGCACCACTGTACCTTCAGTGGTCGACAGCGGGCCCCGACCGACGAAGCCAAACGGCACTAGCGACGTTGCCGGAAACGCTACGGGCGCTATACACCGTAGCAGTAGCAAGAGAACGAGAGTATGCGGGGGTTGGGCCACGGGAATCAACTTTCATCGAATGATCGATAGCTGCTATTCTCGCGTTTTCTACCGCCCTTGATGACAACGTATGTAACCCGCCCACCACTGCCACGCCATCCCTACGTTTCCTGGCGACCTCCCTCCCCCCCCGATTCCTCTTTTTCTTGGAACCTCCCCCCCTCCCCTCGCTGACCTTGTGCTTGTTGGTCTTGTTGTTCCTGATGGTGTGGGCCTCGTCGAGGACGACGCGGTTCCACCCTAGCCCCACCACGCCGTGCCGCCGCTTGCGCTTACCGCCGACCGCGGCGGCGAGGTTCTCCTCGAAAGCTTCCTGAGGAAGGAGAGAAGGGAAACAAGAGCAGACGCATGCGACAGAAACAGCAGTAGCAGCAGTAGCAGCAGTAGCAGCAGCAGCAGTAGCAACAGCGTTGTGTGAGACACGACGGTGGACATAAGAAAACAAGAGCTAGAGTTAAGGCAGATAGGCAAGTGCCTTGGGTGAAGAGAGAAAGAGAGAACAAGAAGACAGTCACCAGGGCTGGTACACAAGACCAGAGCGTGTCGCATCCACGACATCTACGGGTCCAGTAGTGCCAACTTCGAGCAAGGCTCAAAACCCTGCGTGCTCGCGGCCCCCCCCCCCCCCCGGGGGAGGGGCCGTGGGACACAGCACAAGAGAGAACGACACGGACGCGGCACATGAGGTTCACGGTAAAGGTGAAACATGTGGTTGCGGGTGTGAGATAGCGGGAAGACAACACGACCGCGCCGAAAAATTTCAACTGTTTTCCTGCTCCGGGCCATCAAACATCGACAGCCCCGTATGCTTTGTGCCTGTCATCGTTGACAGAGGACAACTCGTGCTTACATCCCGCCGCTCCGCCCTTCGCCGTCCTCACAGAGAAACACTGCGGTGGGGTACTATTGTATGGCTTCGTCGTACCTGTCCTCCGCTGGCGGAGAAGTCGCTGGCAAGCGTGTCGTACGTGGTGATCACCTTCAACAACAACAGCATTTGCGGCAGCGGTGGCGACGGGAACATCAAACGAGACATGCAACTCTCGGCCACAAAAAAAACACAGCAGCAACGTTTGGTCCAACAGCGCAGGACTCGCCATCCCTGTCCTCTCCTTTGTATTCGTATACCATGCACAGCCGCGGCAATATCACTGAGCTGACGATGATACACCTGGAGCAACCTTCGGTAAAAAAATACTCTCAGTCACGTACTTCCACCCTTAACATGACTCAAAGTACAACCAGAACAACTTCAAAGTAGAGACAACACATGTGCCGCATGTGCAACCCGTGGGCGCGAGTTAGGAGACGCATTGCTGTCTTGTGCGCTTCGGGGTGTCTCTCTACAGAGCGCCTGCTCGCTGTCGTGGTCGCCTGGTCTCGCCACTCACCACATCTTTGGTCGCCAGGAAGGTGGGGTCTTGGTTCCTGTTCCCCCCGTGGTAGGCGTACACCTGGTGGGGCGAGAATAAAACACCAAAGAAAGGTAAAATAAACATACATGCACGCAGCGGGAAAGCAGGTGGAGAAGAACACATCAGCAGCAAGCGTAAGGGAATGGACACAACGATATCACACACAAGTCACCAAGACAACGGCGGAAAGAAATGTCAACACGAAACAGGCAGAGAGCTAGATAGATAAGACAGCAAGATAGCGAGATAGCGAGAGAGAGGGACAGAGAGAGAGAGAGAGAGAGACAGACAGACAGACAGACAGAGAGAGGAAGACAGAGAGAGAGATGAGCAACGGATGATTCGATTGAGAAGCACTCTCTTTGCGGTGAGCGGTGCACAATTTCGAGGGCGCCCATGCCTGCCAATCGCTAATAGCAGTGGGGTTGGAAAAATGTTCCCCTGAAGAGACGTCCCGGAGAAAACAATCATTCCGTCCGCTAT